ATATGTTCCATACGATTGCGAGATTGCGTGAGCAATCAGACAGTGTACAACGGTAATAATATTTCAACAGGTTAGCTCTAGAAAATACAGAGACCGCGCACAAACTAAACATCTACTGGTATTACCTGAAGGGCAAGTGCCAAGCCAGCTCCAATACTAGTTGCCCCATTGACCACTTGTGGAACATTTGATGCAATGTCATCACGCTGGAATCCATACTTTATTTCTGTCATGCCAGCAAGAATAACTGCAGTAGATGAGAATCCAACAATTCCTACAAAACTACCATCTTCGATCCTGGTATCAATGAAATACGTTGCCATCTGATACAGTCTTTGAATAAGATTTCCCTGTTGTAGTATGGTGTTGGAAATAAATCAGTTTGAAAACATGAATGCCACAATATGTTCACATCACAGAAGTGATTCTTTGCAAGTGAACTTACATTTTCTATTACTAAAATCTCATAGAACAACTCGAGAATTGTTCTGTTTCCAGCAACGTTGTAAATTATCGTACTGATTGACAATATCAGTCAGGTGCATACATTGCACCTGCGATCCCCAGAATGTGATTTGAGAAGTTAATTTCTCGTCTGACATGCTTGTTTTAAACTTACAGCCATACTGCCAGATGTGTCAAGTACCAAGACCACTCTTCGAACTTCACTTCGCTTGATGATAAAATTGGGAGATGTATCATCGATAACTCGAGTCGGGTTGTTACCATTTAAAAAGTCACTATGCTCTACCATGACTTCCCATGCACTCTTTCCTTCGCATATATCATTCTGTCTGTTTGGAGCCATTCGGTTGTGTTGACCTGACGGATCCGACGAGTCGCCATGACAGAATTCATCAACCTGGAGAGTACAAATGGCGAAAAATAGAAAAACACGTCTGCATTATATATAAACCATAATTACTTGGTATATTCATTCAATTGTGTTGATGAATGTAGGACGTATACATATTAGCTTACACATATGTTGATATTTGAATAATTATGACATCAATACACTTGTATGGTACTTCATCAAGTTGTATGAAATTTATGACTAGAATGTGTGAATCTAATTTACAAGAAAGTATCGTTTTCATTATTTCTGTTATGGGATAGAGGAGGTGGGTTCAATTCAAAACATTTATCACTATTATTTTTGTCCATGACAAGTTCACTCTGTTGGTTGTGGCATAGAGTCTGGTAGGCCTACCCTAATCTACATTTCCAAGTTGGTTACTTATGTAGCAATGTAATTTGTGTTTCCATTTAAGCTCCAAGAACAATTAACATCTGACTATCATGAATGTCCATATACATGGTCAAGTGGCCATTAAACTATTCAGACAATTTCAACTTCTTCGACTATTACGCGAACACAAGACGTATCGAGCTCATAGCTATATCATTTGTATCTTTGTGTTTATCTATTTTATCTGCAATGCGCCCGTGTTGTATGTCCTATAAACAACTAGCAATTACTTGGCAATGACTGAATATTAATCGTCAGTGTCGCAATCAATGCAGAAACATGATTGTGACTTACCGATTTAATCCACTGTGCAAACATAATAGACGATTTGATCGGTAAGTCAACGGGTTGCGTAGGATCTGGGTGAAATGTACAGTTGGGCAATGGTAATCCATCTGCGCCTCTCTCGCTACATGGCTCGCTCCCATTTATCAAGGAATGACAGGCAACAGGAAGAAGTTCATTTGAGTCTAAATAGAAATGGCTCTTGTCTTCGTCTACTGTGTATTCATCAAATAATCCCCAACGTAAGTGTCCCCATTCATGTACTACGACTTTGTCTAAATAAAAGGATACATAAAAGCAATGATTATTTTAGACTGAATGTCTTAGATAGAAATTGATGCTATAATGACATCAAGTGAATACGAAGAGAACACAGCGTTAAGTTAATTTCAATCTTGCCCGAACAATCGCTAGATGCACTTATCGTCCAACAGGCAACCCATAAGAACAAAATAATGTTCACAGCGCAAATGAATTAAATTGTGAATTTCTCGGTATTCAGACCAACGACATTTAATCTAGTGATCACTACGGGGTTTCATACTGCTGGAAAGCGAATATACATGTGTACAAGTTGTTCGTCAGCTTTGGCGTCAAACTTTCGTGTTGTGAACAAGGAGTGATTTGTTTGGTACCATTCAACAATCTTCTTGTTACACAGTCCATTTATGCCAATTTTATTTTGGGTTTGGGACAATTCAACAATATAATAAATCTTGAATGATATTATAACAACTATATTTGCTTGAGTTCATAATACGGTTTACTCGTATTCCTCTTGGCGTTCCTGGCTTATAATAGCCCAGGTAATTCAGCGATTCTAATCCAGGAATTTCTAGTTGCTTTTGGGTTTATATCACGGCAGTCGAACGAGTATGGTAGGCCAAGTGTAATATTCATTAAGCGTATTTATGTGCAAGATTTTACATTCCGATTTATAAATGACATATCTATATTTATAAAACCTCCACTTGTATTTGTAAAATCTCTATTTGTATTTGTAAAATTCATATTTGTATTCGTAAAATCTCCTTTTGTATTTGTAAACTTACCATTTGGTTTTGTGAAATTTTCATTTATACTCGATCGATTTGTATTCATGAATCATCTACATGTATTTGTATGTGTAAAAAAATGAACATAGATGACGCTATTTTGGTAGAAGTATACATTTCTATTTGTAAAATATCCGTTGAATATACGACAAGTGAACGCTGAGGGAGCTCTTCGTCATTGACTCGAATTCAACGCGATGATTCAACCTGAAGGTTTCGACATGGTGGCAAGGGCCAACTCGCATTGGGTGTGTTGCCAAGCCAAAGAAAGTGACACTGTAAATGTGCTTTCGTGCCACGGTGTTTTGATTTCCTAATGTCCAGGCGCAACAGATTTTAGGCTTCGTCTGTTAGTGTACACTACAGCGTCGTAGTACAGACTGGACCTAAACGCTGTGGTGCAAACCCTTTACATTGATCATTACTCTTGACGAAGGCAGCCATGCGGTCGCGTTACATTACGACACAGTCCCGTTATCTATACTACAGCGATTCATTTAAGAAAAATGATCAAGAAATACTGGACGTATGAACATGTAGCTGCAGTTCTATAGCTCGCTTGGTTTCGATTGGTTATTTCGTTCGTCGTGGTGTTAACGCGAAACCAGGGAGCTACAGTTCTATTCTTAATGAACATACTGATGTGTTGATTTCGTGTATTAAGTTAGAAGTCTATTAAAAATGCAAATACCTTGAACTTATTATTTTTTTTTGCAATAAATTGTACTTCCGGGCAATATTAGTAGGATATTGACTTTAAACAAAGTAGATGGTCACTAGCACTAGTGAATGATGGGGTAGTGTTTGTTGATCTCAACTATTTCAAAGCTGTGAGTTTTAAAAAGTGTAAAAAAAATGCAATTTGTCTTTAACATTGCGCTCTGTAGAATTGCTCTAAAAACAGCGATTTTCTGAAAAATATTAGGACAAATTCGTCAAAATACATAAATGTAACGCACAAAATAATGATATTTTATGGTGCCATGATAGCTTCATGATTTTAATAATAAAAATTGACCATTGTCATTGAGTAGGCTTCTCCAGAGTATGCTATCAGCCAGACGATCTATGACGCTATAATGATTATTACACAAGAATGATTTCCGACCGAAGTTCCGATCGTGTTGCGCGATATGTTCTTGTGCGTGCATGGTATAACTCCCTATACTATGTGCTATTGTGACGACGGCTTCCTATATTACAATACTATCGTACAAGGCTTTTCTAACAATTCCCTATATTGTCATCGTGTTTAACATGGATTTCTAAGCTAAACATGCCTATTGTGCAATGCCTTCAGATCTTCTATCCTGCTATCATGTAACAGTTGAATTATGTCTTCTCGTGAATGCATTGCAGATTTATTTGTAAAATCAATACTTACACTCATATTTAATACTCGGTACATGATACGTTTACGAAACTGAAGTGGATCACAATATGCACCAACAAGATACGTCGACAGGAGTCATCCGTTGACACCTGACAGCCCAGGCAGCTGCATGTAAATAGCCTTTAATGGTCCAAGCTGACCCTGTATTACATTAGGCCTGGCCATTCAAGCCCGCTGGAAGTGTTAAATTCCACGGTGGTCGAATTTCGTATCTTTATTATTATAGTAAAAGCGATGGAAATAGTCTTATTGATTTATTTAGATTGTCAGCTCTCCGTGAACTTCTCCCATCTTTAAAGGGCGGTGATCGATTTTCCTCTCACTCCAATGCGCGCTTCAAAGGAAATCCCGAGTACGAGTTTTGATTAATTATCACCGATGACTATATCGACATCCTCAATTCACCAAAAGAAATTACCTAATTTAAGCTTGGTAACGTCTAAGTTTGTATTCGTTTGGCCGCTCAATAGTCAAACTCGCCATCTTTGTTTATTTATGAGACCCGTATTTTGCGCATGTGTGGCACGACGACAACCGCTCTTTAATACATGCAAAATCTCTGCTCTCCACACTCACGAATTGCGCAAGCATGTCGTTTTACGAATACAAATATTGTACGTATACAATATTTTACCAATACGTGACGGATGGTGATTTTACAAGTACAAAACAAAAAGAAATGATGGTTTTCACGCATACAATGAGAGATATTACAAGTACAGTTTAACAAACACAAATTGGAATTTTCCGAATACAAATGCATAGTTTACAAATTAATATAAATGGAGACTTTACGAACACAAATGACTATTTTTTAGTTGATGGAAAGTTCACGAATACAAATAGAGATTTTACAAATACAAATGGAAATTTTATGAATACTAACAGGAGTTTTAAAAGCACAAATAGATGTTTTACGAATATAAATAATGCATAAACTAAGTTTAAGCAACCTACATGTAAAACTATCCAATCATCTTACCAAGAGGTCCTAGATTACTCGGAACCGACGCATCAGTAAAAAACGTGTCAGTCATTTGAACATATTGACCGGATTCTCCGCAAAAGCCGACTTGGTGTGCATATGGCCTGTCTCCGGCAGTTCTACTTTTGTCGACTCGGAAATGAGCCGATTCGTATGCCTCAGTAGTAGCCATTGTATACCCACGATATTCTGACCATTTTTTTGGCACCAGTATAGTTATATTTCGAAAATAAACACGATTCTTCGTTGCCCTATATAGAAATGCCGATGCTTTGGTGAATACATCCTAGAAAACAAAAACATATAAAAACAAAACACGAACGTCGTTTTAGGAAGCAATTTTTCATCACAAATGGATACCAATGTGATGCCAGCCACACACACACACACCTTGTAAGGATATCATCACCGGATAGTACAACTAATATTGGTTTGATGGTGCGTTTAGATTCATGAGTCAATTGGGTGTGTTTGCCATTTTGATGACAAATTATTTAATAATAAAAAATATATAAATGTTGAAAATGGCGATCATAATGTACAATTATTTATAGTATTGTAAATTTCAAAAATCAAAGATATTTATCCAAATTTAGATAATTTGTAATGTCACATTTTTGCCAATATCTTTGTTGCGCTGTAGATTTTGAGTTTGTGTTAAAATTCTTTCTTTCCAAAATTGCACAAACACATAATTGTAGCTTTCTAGTGGTGGTTTTCAATAGCGGGGATCAGTTGATTAACACGTCTTTCTGAACGCGGATTGATTGATACTATTGTTGTGTTTATAACAATTGATTTCCGATCTACCTCGCCTGCTGGGAACAACATATATTACGACCATAGCAACGTCTCTACTTTATTTGAATGTGAATTTATGAATCTCGGCTATGCGCGTTTATTTTATTGATATACAGGACACAAATATATAATGTGAGCTTCTAGAACTAGATGTGAATAGTATTTTTGATCCAAAATTATAAGCATATGTTCATTAACAAATAGAAAAGAAGTATAGATAAACACATCTGGGTAAGGATATCCTTGATAACAGAATAGAACTATTAATGAAATCGCAAAAATAGTCACCAAAATCGTAGATATTTATACAGTATCAATATATCTACATGACGCCACCCAATGCACATACACTCAAATTATGAAAGCAGAATTGATTAATAATTGTTTGATCCTGGAACCATCAGGTACACATCAAGGCAACGTTGGAGAAAGATAACAGTCATTATTCAACATTTCGTTAAATAGTTATTTATATTATTTTTTAAATCACAAATGAAAGTTGGGTTGAGGTAGCGGGACTATTATTTGCATACTTGTTTTCATCTTCTAATTGTGCTAAATGACTACAATAGACCCAGGAAAGTATATATTTTTAGAATCGCCAGACATTAAGCTTTTCAAAAGTGTGTTTTTCATGCCCGTATCCGCATTCTACGATTCTTTACTCAATCAAAGGTAAAAAAATACTTTTTCTGTAAAAAAATAATTACGCATTTATGCTGGTGATAAGAAGTTTTTTTTTCACTTTTCCTAGTTGTTCAATAATCTAGTAAATTGAATGTGTCTTGTCAGTTTTATTCAAGCAACGCGTTTTAAAAAGTAGTGTGCTGAAATTTGAATTACTGTTTTAGTCGCATTGCCCCCAGCTCAAACCACAAAACGTTGGTAAAACATCGATGAAATAGTTTGTCCTCTTTGTTCCTCTCGTTGTCACCTTAAAGCTGTGAAAATGTGGTGTTAATCTGACAACAATAAGTATACGTTATTTTTTGAAAAACATAAACTCCTAGAAATCGTCCATGAAGTCACAGCAAAGATTTTCAAGCTAGTTTATCTGCACAAGCGATTTGTTTTCACATCAAGGTCTGTTTTAACATGCATACAAATGTGTAAGGCTATTGGAAACCAAAAAATAAAGCAATGGGATAGCTATAGTTCGATAAAATCGGCAGACGAAAACACCAAAATCAATGATTTTTTTCAGTGGCTGTGTGACCTTGTGTCTGACACATTTATATGCAAATGACTAATCTGTGAAATAAACAGGGGCGGAAACAAACCACTCAAATGTTTGGAAACACTCATTGTGTGTCAGGTAGCTACTGATAACACATCCTAACATTGCCTTGTCTTGAGCTTATCTTTGAAACTTATAGGCACACGGATTAAACCTGTATTGTTGATTTTGGAAAACACTACTGAGGCTGCCTTGCTTCCCTTCAGAAAATCTACATTTTAACCAACTTACATGACATTCTATGTTATGTTGAATTTATCATATGAATGTTTATAGTGCATTTCATCAAGTAATACATAAATGTGAAAATCGTAATTTTCAACACAAATAATAGTCTCGCTACCTTAAGTTGACAACTTCAAAATGCAAATTGCATGAGAGCAAAAGCAACATATTAAAAGACATTTGTTAGCTTTATTACCAAACGCTTCAGCGTGGTATTAAAAGTTTTTTTTCAGGGGTGGGTGATACCAAGGCGGAAAATGGATGCACATATAGGGGGTAATTTATGGAATTGCAATAGAGAGGGTTCAGGCCGAAATGCAATATATAGTGTTTTCATGTTTCGTCTGATATTTCTGTGGTATTCTGCTGCTGTAAGTAATGCAAGATTTGTTCCGAAATTGAGTGTGTTGTGTGCACTCCAGGCTTATTAGTTTTTTGCTGAAAACACCCCTATTTTATAATGGCAGATTCGAATAGTTTCACTTCCACTGGGAAATCTGCATTGTTGGTTGAATGGGAGCTAATTAAACACATTTTCCAGATCGGCGAAAAAGTATGCAACAGCCAATTTTAATTCTTTATTCTACTGTAATATGTTGCCTTTGATAGATAAGGACATAACGTTTTTACTCCACGTTATATTGATGTATTTAAAACTACGGATCACTTGCAAAATGCAGATATTTAGAACGAATCATCTCGCGTGCGTATTAGAGCTCTTCCGGGTTATAAAATAATTTTTGTGTTCCTACTGTCAAGACCAAATGTCTGTTCTCAGTACCTAGATCGTCTCAAACAATCGGTGGGGTGCGTTGTTTATTTTTTTTGATAACTGTATACCGATCACTGTAGACAATATTGTTAATTCAACGACACAAAATATATACGGTTAGTTCACAGAAGGACTACAAACGATCAATATAACTGACTAAACCTAAGGCAATATACAACTCTTAAAATACTTTAGTGGTGAACTGAGTTCACTAGGACGTTTAATGCAAGCAATACAATGTCTCACCTTTATATTCTCTATCAGATCCCCAACTCCGGATACATCAGCATGTATCGCCACCACAATACCGTCATAACCGTTGTCGCTAATTGTAATGCTTTCACGTGCGTGAACACAGTATATGGCGATTAGAAGCAACGTGGAAGGCATGTAACGCACCATCTTGTGAAACCCAGCGTCTGGCTGTTTTTGTTCATATATGGTTAAGATAGTTTATTTCCTTGTTCCCTTTCAAAGCAAACAATAACGGTTTTACAATTAGGAGCTGGGGGCGTGAACTACTGTGCTCATTGTTGTTTGTTTTGAACTAGATTTAGTTTAACCTGATTATATTGCTAAATATTTTGTTTGATTTTCTTCATGGAGTATATGTTTTATCAATATGTTGTTACTGTAATTTTCACTGCAGATTGTTTTTCGAAGTCACCTGATTTGGAATCCCCAGTGTTTCTAGTGGTCCAACCACCACGTCACAAACACTGAGTCTTATTATGTTACTCACCTATTGACCTTCGAGTCTCAAGAGCCCACTTGCTAAATACTATTTTTGCCGAAAAGGGGTAATGGGTTTTTTTGTCAGGTATGCAGAGAAAAATATTTGCTTACTACTTGTGTTTAAACTGCGGCATTTTATTTGACGTAAATAAATGTTGCACAACTGTATTATTATCCAAGACATGTGTCCACTTTAAAGTATAGATTAGTACAATGACTCGCCATATAATATATAGCACTCCAAAACTGCATGTCAAAACTGCAATTATTTACAGGTCCAAATGAAATGCTGTGATGAAAACAAATTGGATAAATTTACCCGCTGAAAATATACAGGAGGACGGGAATGAAAAGCGTAGGTAGATTGGAAGATAAATCAAAAATAAAATAGGGCCAAGAATTGATAACTGTGGGATCATGTCATTTCCATAAGGGACGATGTCGTAATTTAAATGGTAACTGGTTGTAAGCGATTTGATGTATATTTATGGAAAAATAGCATGATCTATTGTACACTCATAATATGTTGTCTGCTATGTCAGTTTGGGTTTGTTTTGTGTTAAAGTGTTTACGAAGGCCGAATTGTGTATCTCAAAATATATTGTATTTATCTAGATTCGCTGCGATATAGAGACAATTACGACCCGTTGGATTCGTTTTTAGGAATACACTATACTGTTTTACGACGGTCTAATACCAACTCACGTTCCTTGTTGGTTGTTGAACTATCTTGTTTTCGCCATAAAACAAGAAAGGTGCGATTTCTATACGGTGTATTATGTCAAAAAAGTCATCATAAAGTCGATGCTTTTTGATACCTGTATAACCATTGTTTCTGATTATAGTCGAAGTCGAATTCATCTTAGACATCTCCATTGTACCTTGAAAATCCAAGATGATTTTTCCCATTTCTCGAACAATTTAATGATTCCTTTGTCTGAGATTCCAAGTTTGGTAACATGTCAGCAACTCGTTGTGTAAGTGGATTTTAATTTAAAACAAATTAAAAATAGAATTGTCTTTTTCTGTCGATTCACACCCCTCAAAGGCAAAGGCTCGGTGTGAGTTCATTAGATGTTTACGTAGATATCCAACTCTCTTCTTAATTAAACGTGTAATTACACAATTGCCCTATAAAGAACATTTTAGAGAAATCCCCTCAGATGCTCGTGGATTAACATCTAATCACGTGTCTCCCGCGATTTCCTCACTTCTCTTTACTTCCGGGTGAGCTATACTTAATCGTATATATATACAGGCCAATGCACCTATGTTGAATTTGTTTTGTAAAACGTGTTCTAGTTGAATAAAATGAACACAATATCATGTCGTAAATAATTAACACTTATATTAAAGTTCAACTCGGCCGTCTTGAATTTCAAATTCAAATTTTATATAAACTCCCAAGAAGCGATGTTGTGCCCCTAAGCACAGTACTAGTACATCTGATTGAGCGCTATTATTAATCAGGACGTTGTGAAAGATTTGTTCCAGATACTTATTCACGATCAATCCAGTTACCTCAAGGACGTATTTACCACTTCAGAAATTGGAAAAATATAATAATACACTGACGTACTGACATATACTTTGATGACGTATAACGATCACCAGTACTGATAAGAAAATATTTTTACCAGTTAATCCAAACTTTGATCACAGCATACAATACAACAGTCATTCACCATTCTGAATACTTCAACACTACCCTTCAAGATGGAAGCACACATAAACGAGTATGCAATAAATTACTAAATTGGTGTTTTTTACAAAATTAATTTAATAATTTTCTTTATCATAGTAAGACTCTATGTTAATTCATTAAAAAAACGAACAATTCCAAACTGGACTGGAGTTTGCCGTTTTAACAGAAGCATCACTGAGAATAACATTATATCGGACTTTAAGCAAGCCTGACTGAATAGCCATAGACAAATTTGAGCTCATGTATGAATAAATAAACAAATATATACATAATATTAAGTTGGATTCAGATAAATAAATGCATTTTGTAGTGAGATTATCAAGTTTTCACTAATACTGTTACGTCATTTTGAAGCATGCTAACTCAGTGGAAATTTTCACTCGCATGTGATATTCAATTCACAGATGCCTCGAATTTCCTGTATATTAACATATTTACTTAGCCTGGGCGTTATGGCGACGTCATAGTGTCACGTGATTGAACCTATAAAAGTACTTGGCCTTCATATATCGACTTGATTCACATTTAGCTGAGGTAGGAACTTGAGGTAGGACGTGTCACCGAGGCTTGCCCCCTTAGCCAACGTCCAGAAAGAAACAGTTTCACAATTGGTCTAGAAACAAGACAACAGGATGCATGCACCTAACACGTGGAAATCCACTGTAATTTCATATTCAATCCAGGCTCAAATAAGCTATGTGGTGTGTGCAGTCGTTCCAATTCGAGCTACGAAACGACTACAGTGTCGTGTATAAACTCATGTCAACGACGTGTGTTAACGTTTTACGTGCTTTTCAAAAAGAACAAAAACCAGCAGCCCAGGTTGAACATTGGCCTCCTCAATATCCAATATTTGCTCTGTATTTCCACTTTGCGTGAACTACAAATACCCGTTCACTGACCCCTGAATGCACCATAAGGGCTTTTAATTTGATAAAATTCATAGAAAATTGTAGATCGTAGATCTTTCAATAGAATTTGGATAGCACTCCGATAATAAAGTGACGAGTGATAATAAAGTTACTAGTGATAATTCAGTGATTAGTATATATTTCAATTGGTAAGCTTTGTAGCTATTTGGTGACACAGTTCATGACCTCATGTTTCTTACGAAAAACGTTTAGTTATGACTCAAAATTATAGACTACGGGTTATGCACTTTCTGAAACACCTGACATCGCCTATTGGTGGTGTTCGTGTATCACGCTTTCACTGATTTTGTAATGTGTAGTTAATGATTTTGTAAGCTTTTGTTTTTCTCGATGTGACAAATTTGATTGTGGGTGACCAACTTTGAATAACAGTACTTCCTTGATCCTTTGCCGTTGTCGCTACAACATACTTTCTTATATTGATTACACATACTAACACCTGAGCGGAGCTAAACTTCCACTCGGCGAGTGACCAATGGTTACAGTGAGTGTAAAGTAATGATAGAATAATTGTTTCCCAATAAGCAGTGCTCGAGATATTTATAATATTACATCACTGTTCCTACGAGGGGCGTTCAATAAGTAATGTCCCTGACCCATTTCCCATATCAGAAGATTAATAAAACTTGGCACAGTTATTAGTCTTTCTCCACTTAGGAACCACCTAGAGTTATGCATTTCTCCTTTCGTTTGATGCAGCTCTGGGCACCGTTTTTGTAGAACACACTAGGTTGATCCTCCAACCACATTGTAGCTTTAGAAATCAAGGCTGCATCATCTAGGAAACGCTTTCC